TCACGGTGAAAAGATACCGGAACAGGTCTAGATCCAGCTCGCACAACCACTAGTGGCAGAGGTTGACGAAGTAGGTGAGGAGTCGGTGAGAATTGGGCACTAATTGGCCCGGAACTAAGTTGTAATGACGATAAAAAAGGGAAAGGAAAGGACACGGAGGAACTCGGAAGCCAAAGGCAACCGAGTGCAGGTGAATGCCGACACAACCCTCGGGGGGGTCGTAAATTTGCCGGCCTTCCGGGGCGAGGACTACGGCTGAAAGCCCAAGAAGGTATTGGGCCATTTCCAGGACCACCGCATTAACAATGGACGGTGGCCCGGAAGGACGGACGATGGAATCAAACTTGCCTCGCGGCCGTCCGATGCCACCCGGCAGAGCCGCCACCGTCGTTAAAGGAGCGGGGCTTAGCGGAGTAACCGCCCCGAAGAAGAGGGGGTCGGAGGAAGAGAAGACGTCGATGGAACGTCCGCCGGAAGTTCCATACGACGAAGAGAAGACGTCGATGGAACGTCAGCCGGAAGTTCCATACGACGGGGAGGAGAAAAAGAAGACGAAGAAGGAGAAGACGAAGAGGGGGAGGTCGCCACCGGGTTATCGACCGAGTGACGACGGGAAGAAGAAGAATGTGAAGAGGAAGACATTACCTAAGTTAGGTGGGAGATCGGAGGAAACGCAGAATGGCCGGAGAAGCTCGAGTTGAGAATGAAGAGAGACTGGAGAAGAGAGTGGAAAAGAGACGAAATAGCTATTTAAAGGGGGAGGAATTTCAAAGGACGGCCACGTGCCATCTTCTCGTTGGAGGAAGTGGAGGTGACGGGATGTGAAGGGACGCCGCATTTAATGCCTCAAAAGGCGAGGCGACGGTTCAGGCCTAGGGTTAGCCTACAGACCGCGCATCTGCCCTAGGCTAGGGTCGGACGTCAGTGACCCGGCCTGCTAAGCCGGAAGCCCATCGTAGGCCATGGCCTCTGGGCCCACGAAGTACGAGCTAGAAACTTCTAGAACGACCCGGCAGAACCCGGCCCATCAGATGATATCAGCCAAGTTCACGAAGAGACTCCGGTCGCCAGGTCGGCAATCAGACTCGGCGACTCCCTCGCCAGGAGGGTCTCGCCGTAGCATGACTAGGAATCAGTCCCGTAGACCAGAGGCCGGGCGACAAAATAATAAGAAAATGTAGGGTCGGACAGAAAAGCACACAGTTTATTGAATTAGCACGAAGATTACAAAGCCCAGAACTCGGCCGATGCAATTTACAAGAGAAAAACGGGTCAAGGCTTGGCTTCTTTCTCTGTCGACGGGCGAGCAGTCGGAGGGCCTTCCAGGAGGTACTGAGAGCGGAAAGGCAGAGGACTCGGCTCAGGCTCAGGCATTTCGTCCAGATATACGGCGGGCTTCCCGTCATCGATCATTTGCAAAGGCCTCTCCAGAGCACTCGGCGACATGGCAACACCAAAGAGGGGAGGAGCCTCCCACTTCTCTTCCACCATTGGTTCTGGATCCTCCACCACAGGCTCCATCTCCACGTCGATAGGCTCCCTACACATCAGGTCCAGCATGTCTGGAGGCACCACAATGGGGTCTGAAGCCGAGTCGCCCACCAAACGACCTCCGTTAGCCAGCCTCCTCTGCCTTAACTGCTCCAGTCGAGCATGCTTCTTGTTACGAATGGACCAGCGACGATCACCATCCCTGTAACTCATAGCGCCGTACCTTCGCAAAGTGGAGAGTGTTGCGATTTGCATCAACTATGAGGGGCCTTTTTATAGCCCAGTAAAGGCGAATATCTAGGCGATAATCACGGAGGAGATTATAACTGACATAACTGAGCCGGATTAGACGGATGACGCGAATCTCTGTCAGATATTAGTTCCATCAGATCCGCCCGGGAAGAGCAAGATTCGCACGCCAACGCAGAGAAGATTGGATTCGCCCAAGATACGGGGAATCTTGCAGGTGTCAGACTGAAAAGAGTCTGATGATGTGACCGACTCTTTGACCAGTCGTCCGGGTGGATGCGCAACGGAACACGACAAAACATAAGGCAAGGCGAAAGTAGCATTTTTTATTATTATTGTAAATAAGGAGGGTACAAGTAGCAAGGAGCTTATTACAATAAGGAATATGAAAATGCTCCTAAAAAAAATCCCCCCGAACTATGGCCGACTCCGGTACATATGATCACTCGCCGGGCGAGGAGGAGTCGCCCCCAAAGAATCCCCCCGATGGTCCAGGTGGGGATGGACAGAACGAGTCCCAGAAAGCTGGCATGAGCGGTGGCGCAATTGGCTCCTCATCATCCGGATACGCCTCCAGGTAGCGGGCGTAATCCTCATCATTCATCAGGCCCGTAACCGGCCCGTCCAGGTCGTCCAGCGGAATTGAGAAGGTCATTCTGAAAGTAAGTTGCTCTGGAACCGCCACCTCAACAAAGGACCCGTCTTGAGAAGTCACTCGGGCAGTTGTGGGAGTAGGCGGATGGCGTGAAGGCGGAGCGACCTCACGTCGAGGAGGAGTCGGCGGCTGAGAAGCTGAAGACGTAGCGCCGGCAGGAGACCTCTGAGAAGCCGGGCGAGGAGTCTTCTTTTTGTGTTCCCTTTCAGGCCGAGTCCGCTTGGAGGGCAGCAAACGCCAAGGAGACCCGAAGTCAATTCGTTTTCCTTTCAGGGGAGAACGACCCATGATGGACTTGTGAAGGTAAGAAAGAAGGGAGGAGGCCATTTATAGGTGCCAAGTTTAGACAGAAGAATCCAAACGGCCCCGCGAGATCCGGAGAGGATGGCTGAGGATCCGGACGTTACAAAAGGCTATTCAAGGCGTGGATACGGTGATTGAAGGAGATGGACAGTTACTACTTTTCCAAACCTAGGCTAGCATACCGGGTATGAAAAAGTGAGGGACTAGTTGATGGGGTAAGGACCCCGGCCCAAGAGATAGGGGCCCAAAGGAAATGGTTCGAGACAGGAGAAGTGGGCCAGCGTCCGAGGAGCCCGAAGAGCAATTGGGCCGAGTCCTGGAGTCGGCCCAGGCCCAGGCACGGGGCCCGGTTCAGAACTGCTAAAGAGGAGCCCAGTAGGAACTTAGGCTGAGACGAGGAGTCGACCAAGGCCCAAGCCCAGGGAAAGACTCGGTTCGAGGAGCCGTTGAGAGCATTGAAGAGGCTCGTTTAAAAGGGAGCCGTTGGGGCATTAAAGGCAGGACTCGGTCAAGCTGTTACAAGCCTGGAAGAGCCGTTGGCCGACCGAGTAATGGCGTCCAACGGCTCCATATCTTGATTAGTCTTGAAGTCGGCCATTAAGGGCCTTCAAGTCGGTAGAGGAGGAACCGCTATTTAAAGGCTCCTCCACTCTTGTAAAGACAGACGATTGAATACCCGGAGAGGGGAGAATACCAGAGAGATTCCGAGTACTAGCATTGTTTCCGAGATAGGCATACATTTTTATTGAAAGGTGTATCCTCCAGCCATAGGTTGTGTTGGACCTCCTTGGGCCCGAAAACCCAAAAACCATCATGGCGGTTAGCTGATAATAATAAATATTATTATTTATTATCTAATGGCCCTGTTTGGTAAATGACTGTTAGTTGATTGTGTTAATTAGAAGGTATAACTAGTTGATAATATCAGCTGATTGTAAAAAAAATGTTTGGTAAATTAGTTGATAGCTATTTGGTATAATTTCTTTTCTTAAAAAACTAATTGAAAAAGTTGTTTGGAATAGATTTTTGAATTTTAACATTTTGAAATTACAAAAAAAAAAAAAAAAAAAAAAAAAAAAAAAAAAAACTAATTAATCAAACACTTGTATTGATATTTTAACTAAATCAAACAATTAATAGTGCTTAAATAAGCCCAAAATTGCCTATAGATAACTCTTAAGTTTTTAACTTTTTATCCTGGCTGAGATTCATCTTGTGGAGAGATTTATTAAGATATGTCTGATGTGGTCGCGTGGATAACACTTGAGTACTTGTACTGATTTTACCACTGCACTGAGGTCTCCATGACAATGCATCGAAAGCGTCATCCTGGCTAAAGTTAGGACTCAAGATTGCAACCGAGCACCAATTTGAAGCATAGTTTCCATACCTTGTAATTATGATCGGGACCGAACACAACTCAACTAATTGACCGATTCAAGTTAAGATTGATAACTTGTATAGTCAATAGTCACAATGTATAAAACACTTTGAAAATTTTGAAATTTTATATAATTGAGACATATCCCGTGATTTAGTGGTAGTATTCAGGTTTGAAGCGCGAATGTTTTATGATTGGGAAAATTTACCCCAACACAATTCAATTAATTGACCAATTCAGACTAATAGTCTATTTAGTCAATAATCACAATGTACAAAGCACTTTGAAAATTTTCAGATAGTTGAGACATATCCCGTGATTTATTCAACAATCTGGTCTTAGATAAGTGGTAGTGTTCAAGTTTGAAGCGTGAATGTTTTACGACACAATTCAACTAATTGACCAAATTCAGACTAATAGCCCATTTAGCCAATAGTGACAATGTACAAAGTACTTTGAGGAATTTCAGATAGTTGAGACATATCCCGTGATTTATTCAACAACCCAACAGTCTTAAATAGGTGGTAGTGTTCAGGTTTGAAGCGTGAATGTTTTATGATTGGGAGAATTCGTCCCGAACAACTAATTGACCAGTTCAAATTAATAGTCACTATGTGCAAACCAGTTTGAGAAATTTCAGAAGATTAAGACACATCTCGTGATTTATTCAACAACCAAGTCTTAGATAGGTGGGGGTGTTGGGGTTTGAAGTGGAAATCTTTTATGATTTGGAGAATTTGGTTGGTAGAGAGGGGGATGGAATACTAGAGCTCACAGTGTTGATTGTTCTCATCCAAAATGTATCTCCAGGCTCCAGCTGTTGAGAAGTCAAGGACAATGGTAGAGAGTAGACATATTCAGTTGAGGGACAGTGACCTACCACCCCACACATTAATAATACAATGGATCCAAGGAATCTCTCAATACAAGCAAAGTTTGCCTTTTCTAGTTTAAATTTAGCAATGTGCCAATCTGTCACAAGAACCCCTTTTCCTTTCTTTACTACTTTGCTTTGGTCCCAAATCTTCCCTCCTTTTCCACTTAAAATCCCATACACACTTCTCTAACCCCATCCCATCATCATGACACCTAAAATCTTTTCCTAATTCAAAGAAATATTGTTTTTATTAGCATTGCTTTTCTGGGTAAATCAAAACTTGATTCTTTAGTTAGTTCTTGTATTGTAGCACCAGTATTCAATGCTCTTCACTCCCTTATGGTTTCTTGATTAATTGCACTGCAATTGGCTCCACCAGACTCTTTCTGTGATCTCATTTCCTCCCCTCTGCCCTGTGGGGGTTTCTGAATCTGCTATAAATTAAATTACATTCAATGATGTTTGTGTCAATGTCTGAGTGAAGTATTATTCTCCCTTTTATGTGTAGCTTGGATCACTATTGCCTCTTTTATGCCCCCCCACAAACACCTCTTCTGAATTGTGGTTCATGGAGGTCACCACCACCAGTAGTGAAGTTCAGTCAAAGATGGAAGATTATCAAGTGTTGGAGCAGATTGGTAGGGGTGCTTTTGGAGCTGCATTTCTTGTTCATCACAAGCCTGAGAAAAAAAAGTATCATTTTCTTCTCATTCTTCTTTCTTTTTTCCCTTTTTTTTTGGCAATGAGCGAAACCAGCAGCCATTACCTGGTTGCCCATAACTGACTGGCTCAAATCAAGAAAGCGAATTTGTAACCTTTTGGTTACCAAGTCAACAGTCTGACTAACTTGGCTGGGGCCTAATTCTTGAATGGAACATTGAAAATTTGAATGTGCAGGTATGTGCTGAAGAAAATTCGCCTAACGAAACAGACAGAGAAGTTCAAGATCACAGCACACCAGGAGGTTAATCTTGCAAATTAAAACAAGTTTTCTTTAAAGAAAAAAAAAAAAAAAAAAAAAAAGGTTGGTTGTGATATTTTGAATTTGCAGATGAATTTGATAGCAAAGCTGGATAACCCTTACATTGTGGGATACAAGGATGGGTGGGTGGAAAAGGTAGAGAACTATAAAGCAGACATACTTTATCAGTTCATATGACATATTAGCAAACTAATTTATCAGACTGAGTTTTCTGAAAAATCCAGGAATCCTTTGTGTGCATTGTCACAAGTTACTGTGAAGGGGGTGACATGTGAGTTGCAAGAAACTCTTTCTTAAACCCATTTTTCATGGAAGACAAAGGTTATGTTTTTATATTTGTGTACTTAAAATATGCAGGGCTGAGATGATTAGGAAAGCAAGAGGAATGTTTTTCTCAGAAGAGGTAAGAAACCTTAGCTTAATGATCTGCATATAAAAAAAACAAATGAATGGTTAGCAGTTAGCAGTAGATGTTTAATGTTGTTTCTGCAGAGACTTTGCAAATGGCTGGCTCAGTTGCTGCTAGCCCTCGACTACCTTCACTCAAATCGCGTTCTTCACCGGGATCTTAAGGTAATGTTTAATTTTCTCTTGACATATTACGCGAAATGGACTAGTGTAGTTCCTGTTTTTTGACATTTCTGCGTTTTTGTTGGCTCCAGTGTTCCAACATTTTTCTCACCAAAGATGATGAAATCAGACTAGGTAAGGATAAGTTATCCACAACTGAACAGGCTTTAGAATAAATGGTTTTATGAGCTGATAAGGTATGGCCAACAGGTGATTTTGGACTGGCAAAGTTGCTCAACCAGGATGATCTTGCATCTTCTGTATGAATTTCTTCGACTTCTTTAAGAACTTGAAGCTTGTTTCTGTACTGATTATCCAAGTCTTATATGATTTAGATTGTGGGAACTCCGAATTACATGTGCCCGGAGCTTCTAGCCGATATACCTTATGGCTACAAATCAGATATATGGTCTCTAGGTAACCAACCATAATCTGGATTACCAGTTTCTTTAGAACAGCAAAAGATAACTTAAACAAAACTTTTGCAGGGTGTTGTATGTTTGAGATTGCTGCTCATCAGCCAGCGTTTCGAGCTCCGGTAAGTTTTGTTAGATTTTTCGGTTCCTGATTGTGTAAAATTAAACCAGGTTACAGATTGGGTTCTCTGGTGAATAAACAGGATATGATTGGACTAATCAACAAGATCAACAGATCCACCATTTCTCCACTCCCCACTGTATACTCCTCAGCACTGTAAGTTTTCTGCAAATTTTCTGCAGATTTTCTGCACAGGATTAACAGAAGTAAAATCACTATTGCATGTAACGTTTGCAGGAAGCGTTTGATCAAAAGCATGCTAAGGAAGAGCCCGGAACACAGACCCACGGTTAGTCCCCGGGGCTTCGTTTCCATTTCTTATCCACCATAGCAATTCAATGGACTAATCTGGTTGAAATTTAGGCTGCAGAGCTCTTAAGGCACCCACATTTGCAGCCATATCTGGCGCAGTGCCGCAATCTGCCTCCTGCGTTCGTTCCATTAAACCCCGAGAGCTCAAAGGCGAAACTGCCGCCTCTCAAACCTAACACCCACAAAACTGTGAAGGAAAGACAGGTAAAAGCCCTTGCAGAAAGAGTTCCCATTGTCACTGCTAATAAGAAGGTTGGTGAGCTGAAAAGGATTGCAGAAAGAAGAAGTTCTTCCCCGAATCCCAGGATCCAACGTTTTAATCCCGAACATAACAAGGAATCTGGTAAACAAATCTCCAAGAAGACGGATGAAAACTCGAGAATTGACAGTAAACCAGGTGGGAAAAATGGAAGCATGAATTCCAGAAGCTCAACAACAAGTACAGTGACTGATCATCAACCCGAAGCAGACGGAGAACTACAAGAGAAGAACTCCAAGCAAGTAGAAACCAAGAAAATGGAAAAGCTTAAACCCGGGATTCCAACTCCAAAAGAACCAGAAAAACAAGAGGCTCATCATAAGAGGACAGTAAGCGACATTTCAGTAACGAGTACTCTGAATTTTCTTCAGGGGAATAACATCAGAATAAAATGGAGTAACTTGAGCAATGAAAGAGCAGAAGCTCTGGAATCGCTTCTTGAACTGTGTGCAGACCTTCTTAAGCGTGAAAAGCTGGAGGAACTTGCAGGGGTGTTGAAACCATTCGGGGAAGATGCTGTTTCTTCCAGAGAAACAGCCATTTGGTTGACAAAGGGATTAATGAATCTTCAGAAAGATGGCGAGGGGGAAGATTGAATTGAAAGGCTTTTTAAGCTAAGATTTGTGCAGTTCGATCTGTGTATACTATGAGCGCTGCTTGTGCTAGTAACTTATTTTAATTCTTGTAAATAACATTGCCTGCATAATCAGCGTTTTAAACCCCCACTGCTATGTTGGCAAAAAAAAAAAAAAAAAAAAAAAAAGATTTGACTCAAGACTCGAGTATTTGTAGTCCAACTTGAGTATGTTCGTAGAAATTCATCATCCAACTAGTGAACTAACACACAATTGTACTCTGTATAACATTGCCCGCACAGACTTAGCTCAATAATTCAGTAGGTAATATTTGGGAGAAGACACTAAAATTCGAATCTCGGATTCATTAAGAAGCTAATTCATGTACATACAGGAGTCTATAAGTGGTGATAATGGTTTGAACGATCCCTATGTTTTCAACCATTGTCCATATGGTATTAGGTTGTTTTTTGCAACCAATATTATTGGAGTGGTTATGTCACGATTCATTTTAAGTTTTATTTTTCTCGTGTTATTTATTTTCATTGTGTGTATATATACACATATAAAACAATTTATTTAAAAAATAATTTAAATAATATTTTGTGTTAAATTTTTTAAAGTCAAATTTAATAATAACACGAATTCAAATTAAGTTAATCTCAAATAAGTTATAACTAAAATGATTTCATATATACCATCCTGGTAGATACACAATAAATACTAACAATAAATTACACAACCCATCACTTTTTTTTTTTTTTTTTGAAAGTCCACAACCCATCACTTTCATTAAAAAGAAATATAAATATTTATACCCGGACTTAACTCAATAATTTAGTAGGCATTATTTGAAAAAAGAAATCAAAAGTTCGAACCTACATTAATGGTTACATGCTCACACGTGACACGCTCAAGTTCAAACCTACATTAATGGTTACATGCTCACACGTGACACGCTCCCTCACGTGTGCAGTGGGTCGCCTACAAGTGCATGCTCACACGTGACACGCTCAAGTTCGAACCTACATTAATGGTTACATGCTCACACGTGACACGCTCCCTCACGTGTGCGGTGGGTCGCCTACAAGTGACGCTGGGATTCGAACCCATGACCTTAGGTCTGGCTCTGATACCAAATTGAAGTATGTGTTCCATCTCAACTAAAAGCCTAAGCTAATAGTTGGATTGCACATTAATGGTTATATGCTCACATCGACCACCGCATGGGGAGGCATCCTCATCGGTACAAAATGCTCAACCCGGGCAGCAACCCCAAGGTCCCCTGCCCGCACCTTCCATAACGGAAGTCAGCGGTAGTGTAGGAATTATGTCCAAAGTGGGCAGATGAGTCACCGTGTATGGACATGGGAGATTAATAATATGAAAATAAAGTGGTAATTTAAATCCCGATTTGCGGTTTGCCCCGGTGGGCAGATGAGTCGCCGTGTATGGTCATGGGAGATTAATAATATGAAAATAAAGTGATAATTTAAATCATGTTTTGCGGTTTGCACGAATAGAATTACTAGAAATTTCAATGCTTAACGAAAGTAATAAAACAGATAAGAGAGTTATATGAAAATAAAGTGATAATTTAAGAATTTGGCCTACTGGTTGACGTTTTGTGTTGAGAGTAGAAGAAGAATACAAAATATAATAGAAAAAGAGAGGTCAAACATCAATTTTAGGTTAAAAAAGTTAGTGATAATTTTGTCTCAAAGTTATTTTTTTTTTTTTTTTCTTCCTAAAAGAGTAAAATCCATGAAATTGAAATACCAATGGGGGCATGGGATTCTAATTCCATGAAAATGATGGAATTTTAATTCCACGGAATTGTAATTCCCTCAAACCAAATGCCTCGTTAATTGTTGTATTATACGGAATATATTTGTAAGGATTGACGGAATAAATAGTTCTCTTGGATTTTCCCCGTCTCTACACTCTATTCTCTATATTTACATTTTTGTATTTATTCTATCTCCAAAATATCATCTGCAAGTTCACCTCTTAGGAGTTAACAGACCAACGAGCACAATAAACTATAACAATATTGACTTTCTTGTGCGCAGTGTGTAAATGTCTAGCATCTATGGTTCATGTTCAGTTGAGTTACCATGATTTACATTCTCCCAAATGCTCTGTCGGGTCGGGGTGTGGGGGGCCCTTAGGGTTGGGGTTCTACCTTTTGGAAGAATATTGACTTTATTGTACTTGAAAGTTGAAACTCATCAATTCAATTATTGTTGAAATTTTTAGCTAAAAATGGCATTTTGAGTGATTATTTTGTGGTACAAATATATGTGGGATCCACTTCCGATTTGGGTCGGGTCAAAGTGGATTCGGGTTCTTCGTAGTGAGACGAAGAATTTGATATAATGTACGCTCAAAATGGGTAATAGGTGAATGAGAAATTGATTCTCAAAGTGAACCTATTTGAGAGAAGTCAAAAACTTAAGTTTAAATGCTAATTGGAAATTAGCATTTTAATAACTTTCGTTTGCACGAAAGTTGGTTGGAAGCTTAATTGAATTGGGATGCATTCGTGCTGTGATGATGCATGGACGAATGTATTAAGCCTTGGTAGGCTTAATTAGTGAAATGGAGTTTAGCTCCTCTCGTGTGAGCTCTCGTGCAGCACCAATTTGGTGCTTCTAGCACGAGTCAATGCTATATGCATTGATTCGTGCTACACCATTTCGGTGCTTGCGGACCACTCGAGCTTCCTCTGCTTCTTCTTTCTTCTCGTTGGGTTAAAACCTCAGGTTAGAAACCCGTATCTTGCTTTTATTTTTGTTCTTGGTTTCGGACCAAGTGGTAGGATTAATCTCGGATAGATTAAATCCTTGTACTAGTTTCGTACTAGTTGTGGTGGGATTAATTTCGTGGAAATTAAGTCCCGTATACTAGTTTCGTACTAGTTGTGGTGGGATTATTTTGATAAAATAAATCCCTATTTGGTTAATATATTTACGTTGTATATATATGTAATTTTGGTTTCGTACCAAAATTGGTTGGAATTAATTTTCTATAAATTAAATTCCATTTTTTTGGGACAAATATATTTTATATATATTTTGTGTATCAATTTATTCACCAATTTCCAACAATCTTAAAACCGACTAATTTCTTGGTGATTAAATCGATGGATTCCACGAGGGGTGGAACCGTGAATGTTGCTCGTGGTGCACATTCAATTGGTCGGATCGGCAACGTAGTTGCACTTTCCGGAACCCCGGTGAACTTTGGTTCGGAGACCGGTGGTGGCATCAAAGGGTATATCCCTACGATGAAGGTACATGGGACGGTACCTTGTGGATTGGTCGAAAGACCATGGAAATTCAAGATGTTGAATTTCGAAGGGTTGCAACTTAAAACGTTGTACAACCTTGTAATTCTCGGCATGTCATTGTTTTTGACCGAGATGGTTCCTAGTGAAAAGGAACACGAGTCTAACGCTCAAACCGTTAGCATAGTGAGAATTTGGAAATATTTGGTTTTCCTATGCCTAAACTATGTTTTGAATGGTTTGTGTGACTCGTTGTGGGAATCTTTAGACCTAAAGTATAAGAGTGATGACGCTAAGGCAAAAATGTTTGTCGTTAGCCGATTACTTGAATACAAGATGGTGGATTCCGGGATCGTCCTAAGTCAAGTTGACGAAGGAATGATCGTGAGTGAAGCCTTTCAAGTGGAACCTAGTATCCATTTGTTGCCTTTGGGCAGAAGGGACTTCAAGAAGCAATTCTACGGAAGATGCTTCAATTGTGGCATTATGGGCCACAAGTGGGCTGATTGTAAAGCACTTAAGAGGAAGAATTGTAATTCTGAATCTAACGTGGTGCGGTTCAATCAGAATGAGTCCGAAATCATCCTCTCAGCAATGGTGACCGAGGTAAACCTGGTTGGTTCGAACCAAACGGAATGGTTCATTGATACGGGTGCGACCCGACATATGTGTTCCAACCGTAAGTTGTTTACTACCTTCGAGACGACTAATTGTGGGAAGGTATGGATGGGAAACTCTGCTCAGTCTACTGTGGTAGGCATGGGCAAAGTAATTCTCAGAATGACCTCTGGGAAAGAGCTGACTCTGAACAACGTCTTGTACGTACCGGAGCTACGAAAGAACTTAGTTTCTGGTTCATTGTGGAACAAGAATGCCTTCCGGTTAGTGTTTGAGTCAGAGAAGGTTGTTTTGTCGAAATCAGGAACGTACGTAGGCAAGGGTTATGTGCTAGAAGGGCTTTTTAAGCTCGATGCAATAACTGCGATTAATAAGAGTATTATTAATTCAGCCTATTTACTTGAGTCTTCGTGTTTGTGGCACGGTAGACTGGGTCACGTTAATTTGAATTTTATACGTAGATTAATTAACTTGGACCATATTCCTGCATTTCAAGTTGATAAGCACAAATGTGAGATTTGTGTTGAGGCAAAACAAACGAGAATTCCTTTTAAATCGATTGAAAGGAAAACGGAACAACTTGAGTTGGTTCATAGCGATGTATGTGATTTTAGATCAATACAATCGCGCGGTGGTAATAAATATTTTATCACGTTTATCGACGATAGTACACGATACTGCTATGTGTTTTTGCTTAAGAGCAAAGATGAAGCCGTTGATAAATTCATTCTTTATAAGAATGAAGTGGAAAACCAACTTAATCGGAGGATTAAGAAGGTTAGAAGCGATCGAGGTGGTGAGTACGAAACACCTATTGGTGACCTCTGTGCAAGTGTAGGTATCATACACGAGCATACGGCACCTTACGCACCTCAATCGAACGGTGTTGCCGAACGTAAAAATCGCACATTGAAAGAAATGATGAATGCGATGTTGATAAGTTCGGGCCTACCTCAAAGTATGTGGGGTGAGGCGATTTTGACAAGTAACTACCTTTTAAATAAGGTTCCCCGCAAGAAGCTCGATAAGACTCCTTATGAGTTGTGGAACGGTAGGAAACCTTCCTACCAGTACCTGAAAGTGTGGGGGTGTCTTACCAAAGTTTTGGTGCCAACACCTAAAAAAATAAAGATAGGTCCTAAGAAGGTGGACTGTATCTTTATTGGTTATGCACATAACAGTAGTGCGTATCGGTTCTTAGTACACGAGTCCCATAATCCGGACGTACATAAGAACACGATAATTGAATCGAGGAATGCATCGTTCTTTGAAGATGTATTTCCGTGTAGGTCCAGTGAGGGACCTAGTACGTCGAAACGAACATTCGACGAGGCTGTGGATAACGGCAGTGGAGGGTCTGAAATAGAACCCGAGCTCGAAGCTAGACGTAGCAAGTGAGTTAGGATTGAAAAATCCTTTGGTCCAGATTTTCTGATGTACATGTTAGAATATGATACGCATATTCTAACTTGTTTACTAGAAAATGAACCGGATTTTCTGACATGTTTGTTAGAAAACGAGCATCAAACGTATGTAGAAGCTGTGACTTCTACGGAAGGAACAATGTGGAAAGAGGCTATAAAGAGTGAAGTGGATTCTATCCTACAGAATCACACTTGGGAACTGGTTGATCTTCCTCCGGGTAGTAAGCCCTTGGGATCCAAGTGGGTCTTTAGACGGAAGTTAAAACCTTATGGTTCCATTGAGAAGTATAAGGCTAGGCTTGTAATTAAGGGTTACAGGCAACGCGAGGGCCTTGATTACTTTGACACGTATTCTCCCGTAACGAGAATAAATTCCATAAGGATGATACTTGCCATAGCCGCACTGCGAAATTTGGAAGTACATCAAATGGATGTGAAAACAACTTTCTTGAATGGTGAGTTAGATGAAGAAATCTATATGGAACAACCTGAGGGTTTTGCGGTTCCAGGCCAAGAAAAGAAAGTCTGTAAATTGGTTAAATCGTTATATGGTTTAAAACAAGCGCCTAAGCAGTGGCACGAGAAGTTTGACCATGCGATGTTAACCAATGGGTTCAATATAAACGAAAGTGACAAGTGTGTCTACGTTAAGGAAACGATAGACGGTTATGTCATTCTTTGTTTATATGTGGATGATATACTCATCGTGGGTAGTAACGATCGAATGATCAAATCTACCAAGGACATGTTAAATTCGAGATTTGACATGAAGGATATGGGTTTGGCAGATTTAATCCTTGGGATTAGAATCGTGAGAAGACCTGATGGTCTCGTGTTAAGCCAATCTCATTATGTTGATAAAATCCTTGCAAAGTTTAACAAGGACGATTATCAAGTGGCTAGGACTCCATTAGATACTAGCGTTCATCTATCCAAAAATCGCGGAAAGTGTATCTCTTAAGTAGAATACGCTAGGATTATTGGAAGTTTGATGTATCTAATGAGCTGTACCAAGCCTGATATTGCCTTTGCGGTTAGCAAACTCAGTAGATATACGAGTAACCCTAGTGATGCGCACTGGAAGGCAATAATGAGAGTTATGAGATACTTTAGGTATACTCGTGACTGGGGACTGCACTATACACGATATCCTGCTGTACTTGAAGGGTATAGCGACGCTAACTGGATATCGGATATGAAGGACTCTAAGTCCACGAGTGGCTACGTGTTTACGTTAGCCGGTGCAGCCGTTTCTTGGAAATCCTCGAAACAAACCTTGATAGCTAGATCCACGATGGAATCTGAGCTGATAGCCTTAGACAAATGTTGTGAAGAGGCTGAATGGCTACGCCATTTGTGGAGGACATTCCTTGTTGGGATAGACCTGTACCTCCAATTAGTGTGCATTGTGATAATCAAGCAACAATTGGGAGAGTACAAAGTCATATGTATAATGGTAAGTCTAGACATATACGTCGAAGACATAATACCATTAAACAACTACTCACAACAGGTGTTGTCTCTGTTGACTATGTGAAGTCAAAGGACAATATAGCGGATCCGCTAACCAAAGGGTTGAGCAAAGATGTTGTTGAGAAGTTGGCACGAGGAATGGGTTTGAAGCCCATGGAATAAAAGTTCTATAGTGGACACCCAACCTAGCTGGCACTTAGGTTCAATGGGACAACTAAATTATGGAACGAAGCGTGTCACTGTGGGGGTCTCGGACCCCCTACCATTCCTCGTTAGAACAGTGACTCCCGCACGAGGCTAGCATGTTGATGCTTTAATGATTCGAATGTCGGTTGACATGTGTGAGTATGCGGGATACTCGATAAAGAATCACCTATGTTAGAGAGATGTGGGGTCGCTTCAAAGGAGAATTGATGGGCTCAATTCTTTAGCAACTCTCGCAGAACCAGGAAAGTGACCCATGACCAAAACGGGCACACCCATGAGAACAGGACAAAGGTTGGAAGGTTCCTGTGTGGGATATGTCATCGTCTACACAAACGGCAGTTGGTTCAAAGACATCAAGTTCTACCATACAGCCAGTAGAGTAAACATATTTTCACAAGGCAAGGTTCAAAGGGTAACACCTACCTATGCTATGCAGGGATCGACCGTTGAGCACGTTCGTGTCGATTTTTCCTCGTCCCGAAAATCAATTTTCATTCATGTGGGGGACTGTTGGAATTTTTAGCTAAAAATGGCATTTTGAGTGATTATTTTGTGGTACAAATATATGTGGGATCCACTTCCGATTTGGGTCGGGTCAAAGTGGATTCGGGTTCTTCGTAGTGAGACGAAGAATTTGATATAATGTACGCTCAAAATGGGTAATAGGTGAATGAGAAATTGATTCTCAAAGTGAACCTATTTGAGAGAAGTCAAAAACTTAAGTTTAAATGTTAATTGGAAATTAGCATTTTAATAACTTTCGTTTGCACGAAAGTTGGTTGGAAGCTTAAGTGTAATTAAGCTTGAAAAGCTTAATTGAATTGGGATGCATTCGTGCTGTGATGATGCATGGACGAATGTATTAAGCCTTGGTAGGCTTAATTAGTGAAATGGAGTTTAGCTCCTCTCGTGTGAGCTCTCGTGCAGCACCAATTTGGTGCTTCTAGCACGAGTCAATGCTATATGCATTGATTCGTGCTACACCATTTCGGTGCTTGCGGACCACTCGGGCTTCCTCTGCTTCTTCTTTCTTCTCGTTGGGTTAAAACCTCAGGTTAGAAACCTGTATCTTGCTTTTATTTTTGTTCTTGGTTTCGGACCAAGTGGTAGGATTAATCTTGGATAGATTAAATCCTTGTACTAGTTTCGTACTAGTTGTGGTGGGATTAATTTCGTGGAAATTAAGTCCCGTATACTAGTTTCGTACTAGTTGTGGTGGGATTATTTTGATAAAATAAATCCCTATTTGGTTAATATATTTACGTTGTATATATATGTAATTTTGGTTTCGTACCAAAATTGGTTGGAATTAATTTTCTATAAATTAAATTCCATTTTTTTGGGACAAATATATTTTATATATATTTTGTGTATCGATTTATTCACCAATTTCCAACAATTATTACTAACATCATCTCAATTGAACACATTGCACAAGATCTTTATAGTATAATTTATCTCTCATGTGTGATTTACAAATTATTACACATGAACATGGTTTACTCGATGCATATTTTAAAATAATAATTACATATTTTCTTGGTTCAGAAAAATATTTCTTGTTTACAAAGGCTAATAATTTCTAAATATTATGAAAAATAAAAAGAAAACCTTACAAAATGTTTGGTTTACGAAATATGTCCGAAATGAAATGACTTTTTAGAAATAGATTTATTCCGTTGTTTGTTAATACTTTTTGTTCTCGGAAAGAGATATTCCCTTAAAAAGGAAATAGCTATTCCAAAACCCTTGGTATTAGGTTATTTATGAGTTTTCAGGAATAGCCTTGTATATGTCTTTTAAAAACATATTATATTTATATTTTTTAAAATCAACCAAATACTAAAACAACATTGCAAAAGTCTATTCCTTCAACAAACCAAATAATATATACAATTCATGTCCTATTCCACTGTACTAAAAATACAAAAAAAAAAAAAAAAAAAATCAAATAGGCCCTTCAACTTTATAAGAACGTGCAATTAGGTCTCTAAACTTTTGAAAAATGTAATTAAACACTCTAACTTATTAAAATAGATCAAATAAGCCATTTTATTGGTAACCCACAAGATGTCGTTGACCGTCATTAGCCATCGTTGGGAAAAAATCAACAATGGGCGACTGATGAATGACTGCCGATCGCATTCTTCAAAGAAGGTGACAATTGTCGCCTTCTTTGGCGAAGAAGATGAATAGTTGGTCGCTTTCTCTGTGGAGAAGGCAACCCATATGATCACATTCTCCGGCGAACACTAGTCACCTTCTTAGAAGGCTAGCAAGTGGTGGCCAGAGAAGGCGACAACCGTCACCTTCTCAACTTGAGAAGGCTAAATCGCTTTGCCTTCTCTGTGGAGAAGGCGGACAAGTAGTCATCGGAAAAGACAACCTAGTGATCACACTCTCACATTGAGAAGGTTGGATCGTCTTCTCACCACCGAAGAAGGCAAGTGACTGGCCACTGTTCAAAGTTGCTGGTATTAATCTTCGGAGCATCACTAGAGTAGGTTTATGTGTCATCGGACAGTCACACAACTTTAATGACCTACTATTACAGGTTACTAATAGATTTTTAGGTTTCAATGCATCAAAATAGTATGTTTATAGATTTAATTACACTTTTTAAAAGTTTAAGAATATAATTAATTTTTTAAATAAAATTTAGAGGCTTATTTGACTATTTTCTCACCCAAATATTTGTGTTTTTTTTAAAAATGGCGTTGGACAAGGAAGCTTTGAACAAAAACAAAAGTCTCCGCCGCCGGGAGAGCAAATTTTGACCGCTTGTTATTCACCCACCGTCACGGACAGAACCTGACCGGCCAACCCCAACCCTAACCTTCGACACCTTTCTCGAACTCTCTCCCTACATTTTTATACCCAAAAACACAAAACTCAAAACTCAAATCTCAATTCACAAATCGCCATCGACAATCGAGATGGCCTCCCGACTCATCTCCCGCTTCGCCTCTAGTCTCACCCGCTCCGCAGCCACCACTAACGCCGCCGTCATCCCCTGTACCATCCACCACTTCAGCGCCACCTCCACCGCCGCCTCTAGTTTAATCAAATCTCATCCCTTAATCTCCCTCCTCCAATTTCAATCCCATCCCCCCATCCCCCCCTCCCGTCTACTCCCCTATAGCACCCTAACTCTCCGATCCTTCTCCACCGTAACCCGCCCTAGCCGTCCCCACCGCTCAGCCCGGCCGGACATCGGCGCCCGCGCCAGGCAGATGCAGACGCGGCGTCTCTGGACCTACGCTCTAACCTTCAGCTGCGTTGCGGGATTCATTATCATCGTGCTCAACCAGTTCCAAGACCAGCTCGTCTTCTACGTCACCCCGAGCGATGCGATTTCGAAATACACTGAGAATCCCACCAAGGCCAAGTTTAGGCTCGGCGGGCTGGTCTTGGAGGGCAGTGTAGCGCAGATGGCTTCGTCGCCGGAGATGGAGTTCGTGATCACCGACTTAATCACGGACATGTTGGTCAAATTCGAGGGTTCGTTGCCGGATCTTTTCCGGGAAGGCCACTCCGTGGTGGTGGAGGGGTTTATAAAGCCGTTCACGGAGGAGATGAAGAAGACGAATGAGGTGATTTTGAAGGAGAACAACAAGTTTATGATCACAGAGAAGGCCAGACGTGGAGAGTGCTATTTTGAAGCTACAGAAGTTCTGGCTAAGCACGACGAGAAGTATATGCCTCAAGAAGTCGCCGCTGCGCTGGAGAAGAACAAGAAGATCCTGGAACAGCAACGAATTGAGGAAAGCGGCAATGAAACTGCCATAGCCAAGCCATAGGTCTGATCTTTTTCTTAACATATGAATTCTTTTGAAATTGATGGAACACGCATACGTTTTAGCTTGATTGATTATACAATTCTTTCGGATTAGATTGAGTTAACTCAGGAAAGAGATATAGGCAAATTTGATGAGCCAACTTAGATTTGTTGTTGTGCCATTTTTATCTTTATTCTATTGCCCCAAGGTTGTGGGTTCCAAACTGATTTTGGCATAGTAGTTAATAAATGTTATAAATGAATTATCATTCTGGGTAGTGCTTATTATTCTTGATGAAATGGATGTACTAGTGGCTATAATCATCCTCCAAAGAGTTGAACAAAAAATATAAACTTTTTAGCACTTGACGATATTAAGGAAGGAGATTGATGGTGAATCTTCTATGAGGCTTTTTCCAGATTGATCTTGAAGATCACTTTGTTTGTGCAGGGTGTCAGTTAAATAGTCTGTAAGGGTGTCAGTAGTATTAGCATTGCTACTGGTAGAGTGGTAGAAATGTACATGCTATAAAAGAAACCTTGTACTGGTTTTTGAGATGCACTTTGCAGGTGTAGATGGTAGTAGCCAGTAGGCCTGTTTATACAGGATGCGACTTTAGAAGATAGTGATGTTGCTTTACTCGTATTTATGAAGAAAAATGTGTGCGTGTGCAAATGATCCATGACAATCGTTGTCTTCGGAATCTTAGAGGATAAGGTTGTGTCTTGCTGGAAGATGAACCCCTTTCATTTTTATGTGGCAGGGTTTAATTTGTTTATGGTGCTCATGGTTGAAAATACAGGAAAATAGAAGGAAGCAAGAAATCGGTAGGCATTGCATTCTACAAGAATATAGTATAGACCAAATAGAGACAAGGCAGAAGCAACAAAAGGGGTGGGTGTTTTCTGAATTGTGAGGCAACAAGTTAATAGCTGAGCCGCTGAGGTATATCCATTTTTGAACCCAAATTCTCCATTTTTATGCGGTGATATAGTTAGTGGAAGAAGTTGCTGTGTCAAGTTTCGTGTTGGGGAAACTGTTTTGATTGTAATTGGACACATACATGATAGAACCAGGAAGGAGTAATAAACTTTTCTACTTGAGACCTAGTTACAAAATTCAGAGTTTTTGTCACCGCAGTTCACTTTAGTTAGCCCAAATTTGGGTGGGGTTAAGGGAAGAATCCGAATGGGGTAAGGTTGATACCCTTGTTTAAGAATCTTGGCCGGTGATGAAATGGTGTAGCCATTTATCACTTTGCTTTGCAGTACTAAATAATAGTCAGGGATATAGTTGTTCAGGAGAAGATGAAAGGAGAAAAAGCATAGGATAGGTGAAGGTTGAAGAGTGAGGTAAAGACCTGTGAGGTTTAGGTGAATCAAGAGAGAATGGAATTGATGTTGTTGGCAAAGGCTTAAACTGTGATAAAAAGAGAAGATGAATGGCAAAGGCTTATATTCATCTTTGTTTAAACGAGGAACCCCACAACCCTTTTGAACAATAGGCAGGTTGTTTTGCATAATTTTATGTTTTATTGCAGAGTGAAGGATCTCTAAGCTAATGCCATGTTTGGCACCAGAAAATAGTCTTTTGAAAGAATTTTCTGAGGAAAAATAGATTTTATATTTTAGAAGAAAGAAAACTTTATTTTATTGATCTTATTAAATTAAATTTTTATCGTGTTAAAACTTTTTGATCTTAATTAAATTTTTTTAACAAAGTGCTAGGTCATTAGACTTATTAGGTTGGATTTATCAAGATGGTTTTTTTATTAGAGATTTTTTTTTTTTTACTTCAATTCACTAATTTTTCAGTCTTCTTTGAATATAACTAGTTACAACACGTGTATTGTGCGAATTGTAATGTTCAATGTGTATTTTTAAATTAGTGTTTAGAACTTTATAAGTATCATTCATTTATTCGGTATCTTGATATATATCAATGCAAGATTATCAAATTTTTATAAAAGTAAATATTTCAAGAATGCATAACTATAACCTGTGACATAATTTTTTATAAAATTAACAAGTGCAATACCAGTTTTAGATGGAAATGCCCTCGTTAGATATTTCCTAAGCATAATTTTTACAATACAAAACCTTATTAGTTGGTGTGATTTATGCTTTCTCGCGTTGGCGCACTGTACTTTCAAAAACAAAATCAAATCTTTCTTTCACAAAAAAATAATGATAATAGGCATGGTTTTGTTCATGTTAAATTTTCTATCATAGTTTTTTAATATACTTTAACATATTCATAGTATATGTTTAACAATTATGTCAATTTTGATTGGTACGGTGTTTGAATATAAGACTTTTCTTATAAAAAATTAATTATGTCAATTTTGATTGGTACAGTGTTTGAATCTAAGTTTTTTTATGAAAAATCAATTATGTCAATTTTGATTGGTACGGTGTTTGAATCTAAGACTTTTCTTATGAAAAATTAATGAGTAAGTTAAGAATAATAAACATAATAATATAATAGAGGTAAAGTATGAAAATTAATTTTTAAAAAATACTAAAATTAAAATAATATGAAATATTCATTTCAAACAGTTACACCAATATTTAATATATTAGAGAGTAAAGTATGAAAATTAATAAAAAAGAAATATTAAAATTAAAATTAAAATAATATTACTATTATTTTAACAAACAATACATCAATATTTAATATTTTTTAATTCGCGTGGGCCTAAGTTTGTAAATTTTTCGAGCGTAACAGTTTGAATTCCTTGCTATTTTGGATTGTCACTTTTAAGTTTTTAAGTGGACAAATCAACATACATATAATACCCTAAGTTGAAACAAACCCAATTATTGAGGACATGGCCATAATTTGTTTTCAACTCTATTGAGAATATTGATCTTGAAACTAAACTTCACAAGTTTAAAACAAATTTCTTGTGGGAATTTCTGCAACTCTAAACATTCCAGTTGTTATATTATAGACCGCGGTGCATAATTGATTATGCACCGCGGCCCATATACGGCGCCGTTTCTTTAAGTAAAGAAACGGCCCGCCGTTAGAGTTAACGGAGTTCGTTTGTTTGGTGTATTAAATACCAATTGACACTACAGTATATCTAAATCGACACTGCAGTTATATCAAAATGATACTGTAGTTATAGTGAAATGAAACTGCATTGTATATAAACTGAAACTGAATAACATTTCACATATTTGAGTGTATATTGTACAATGAAGCTATAATTATATCAAAATGATCATGTAGTTGTGTTTTAATAAAACTATAGTGTATATAAAATAAAATTAAATAACATTTTCACATATTTGAGTCTATAAATATCGAATGAAACTATAGTTATATCGAAATGAAACTGTAGTTGTGTTCAACTGAAACTGCAGTGTATACAAAATGATACTGAATAACAGAGTTACTTTTTGCAAAAGGGTGCGAAACGGCGGAAATAAACACTGTTAATTTTCATTTAAAAAAAAAGACGCGCAGTGCATAATCGATTATGTACCGCAGTGCATAATATAATTTGCCCTAAACATTCCCAACAAAATAATTAATCAACGCAGCATTCACAGTAATCGGTCAAACTGGGCAATAAACATAAGAGGCCCAATTACATAAGCCCAAACTTTGGCAATAAAATTGGTGGAGGCCGCGCGAACGCAGGCCCCCTCTACCACAAATTATGACGTAGGCTCCACCTATAAGATAGACCTTAGGTTAACACCCTTCCAATGTGCAATGAAAGTCATCAACCTAGGCCATGAGCCTTGATGATCGCCCATTGACCCCGTCCAGGTAAATATGGAACCAATTGCACTTGGCCCATTTTTATACCCACTGCTCCTCTCCCCCTTTTGTTCTTCTGGCGATGTGGGAAACTGGGAACCTCTTCAATATGCACACTGCTCCTTCTTCTTAAAGCAGTTTTTCTCTTTTCTTCTTGTTCAATGTTCATATGTTCTTTTCTTTTGCTTTTTTCTTCTTACAAAATCTAAATTCCTGGTCTTGCAAATTACATATAAACATTAACAGCTTAATCCTTGTATTCTCAGAAAGATGGATTCTGCTAGCAATAGTTATGTAAACTAAACATCAAGCCCCATCATTTACACCAGAGATGCCTATTCTCAGTATTATGTGTATGTCACTTATTCCACTAATAAATTCTTAAATTCCAGTTAAGGATTCATGTTAAAATAAACGTCAAAAGGTAAAATTGAAAAGAAAGTGTAAAGAAACAATACAAATAACACAAAAATTAAACACTATACAACTTATATTGTCAACACAATTTTCATTACAGTTAACATTATGGCTCTTATTATATTTTAGAGAAAATGGTCAAATAGACCCCTAAACATTACCCTAAAGGTTAATTAGCCCCCTAAACTTTAAAAAAGGTCAATTAAACACTCAAACATGCAAAATTTGGTCAATGAAGCCCAAAAACCGATAAATGACCTGTTTTTACCGGTCATTTTAATTCCGGCCACCGGTGACGGATTCCGGTAACCGACGAATTTTTCCGGCGATCGAAGAATTTTCCGGCCGTCCGGTCGTCTTCTCCGGTGGAAGACGACCGGACGGCCGGAAAATTAATTCGCCGGCCGCCGGAAAAATTCGCCGGTGGCCGGATTTCGTCGCCGGAATTAAAATGACCGGTAAAAACAGGTCATTTATCGATTTTTGGGTTTCATTGACCAAATTTAGCATGTTTGAGTGTTTAATTGACCTTTTTTAAAGTTTAGGGGGCTAATTGACCTTTAGGGTAATGTTTAGGGGTCTATTTGACCCTTTTCTCTATATTTTATTATACTAGCTACTACACGCGCATTACCCAAATAGTTTGATGCTCAATGTTTATTTTTAAATTAGTGTTTCAGAACTTATCAAAGTATATCAATCGGTATCCTAGCGTATATCAATGCAAGATTATCAACTTTTTCATAAAAGTAAATATTTCAAGAATGCATAACTATGACATGTGGTAGAAATGTTAGATTAACTAATGCAATAGCAATTTTAGAGAGAAACACCCTCACTTGATAGTATCCTAAGTAAAAATTTTAGATGGAAGCACCCCTGCTTGATAGTACCCTAAACATAGTTTTTGCAACACAACGTTCTATTAACCGGCGTGATCTATGATTCCTCTTGTTGCCATTTTTGCCATAAATGAATTCTTGATATGATTTGATAGTCCCCTGGTGTGCTTCACTGAAATTTTAGTGCCTGGCCAATGCACCTTCAAAAACATAACCAAATCATTATTTTCCAAAAAGACAATGATAATATGCATAATTTCTCATATGTGTTAAATATATATTGTAAATTAGGTGTACCGTTTCATCAATGGCTAATGCGTGATTCTAATTAATTGACCAAAGTTCATGTTAACACTTATATTGTATTCTTTAAGAGAAAATTGTCAAATAGGCCCTCAAACTTTTTAAAGTTGCAATTAGGTACATAAACATGTCAATTTAGTTAATCAAGGCCCAACTACCTGTTAGTGACTGCAATACCAGGTTACTCAAATTTCGACGATTGTCCGGCAATAAAAATGGACAGAAATGACTGCCGGAATAAAAAATGGACGAAAAAATGGTAGCGCCATCTCCTAGGGATGGTCGGACGGAGAATGTGACCATTTTAGTAAGAATAAAGGGGCGTTTGGTTCACGGAATCTTGGATTACCCCAGGTAATAGGATTACCTCCAGGAAGGTAATGTGAGATGTTGGGAATGTAAGATTACCTTGTGTGTTTGGTTTGGATAGTGTAATATAATATTACCTTGTTTGGTTCAAGGTTATATTTTAGGTTATATGGATCAATTTACAATAATGTCCTCAATAATATATATATATATATATATATATATATATATATATATATATATATATATATATATATATATAATTTGTGTATTTATTTATATGTATGAATGTATATCGATGCTTAAATATTAAAAAAATTAAATATATAAATATACACATATATATTTGATTATATAAACATATATTAATTTCATTATTATTATTATTATTGTTATTATTATTTTTATTATTATTATTATTATTATTATTATTATTATTATTATTATTATATAAGGATTAGTTAACAAGGGCAAAGTTGGAATAATTCAAGGTAATTTAAGATTACCTAAAAAATTGGGGGTAATCACATTACCTTGAAATATTACCGTCACATCAGCTTTCAGGTAATATAACATTACCAGGTAATCTTATAACTTGAACCAAACAAGGTAATATAACATTACCAAACTCAGATTACCTAGGTAATCTAATATGACCTGAACCAAACGCCCCCTAAATAGATAACGGAATATTCCGTTACTAAAGTTTACACTAACGGAATACATGGATATTTAGGAAAAGTAAATGATATAACATAGGGTAAAATAAGAAAAAATAATAATAAAAAATACTAAAATCAAAATAATATGAACCATTTATTTCAACACACAATTACACTGATTTTTTAGTTTCCGTTAGGGATCTAACATTATTGACTCTTATTAAGTTTGTATTATTATATGTATTTGTATTTGTATGTATATGTATATTTATATTGTATGTAAATGTAGATTGAGTAAATACCCAAATTGGTCCCTCAACTATAGCTAAATTCACAAATTGGTCCCCGACTTTCAATTTTAACAAATTAAGTCCTTAACTTTGTAATTTTAACACGATTTGGTCCTCCGTCTATTTGACCGTTTGTTGACCGTGATCTCTGAGGATATATATGTAATTTCACTGCCGCCCGCCCTCATCCGTTGCCATGACATAGTCTATCGCCCATCTAACACCCCACTTTTCTTAACTCTTTGCTCTGGTACGAACTCAACTACATTGAATCCAAAGAGAGGATGAAGAAAGGCGACAGGATTTGGCAGATTGCTTTTAGCAGTGGATTCAAATGTAACAGTGCGGTCTGGAAATGCAATCGGAACCTTAAAAATCCGACGATGGACATGAAATTACATATATATTCTCAATAATCACAGTTAACAAACGGTCAAATAGACGGAGGACCAAATCGGGTTAAAATTGCAAAGTTAAGGACTTAATTGGTTAAAGAGTAAATACCCAAAATGGTCCCTCAACTATAACTAAATTCACAAATTGGTCATCGACTTTCAATTTTGACCAATTAAGTCCTAAACTTTGCAATTTTAACACGATTTGATCATCTGTATATTTGACCGTTTGTTGACTGTGATCTCTGAGGATATATAGTTATTCGGTGACCGTGGTTTTGAACTCTCCATATTCGATAAAATAACCGAATAACCGTATAATCGAAAAATTTTTTCGTGTAACTGATAACTGACCGAAAACCAAAATTTTCGATCGGTTTGGTTATCGGTTTTATCGATTTTTCGGTATTTATGCTCACCCCTATCCCCAAGCAGCAAGTGGATAAGCACTTCCCCCTTCGAAATGACGTCGTCACCTCCAAGATCTTGAGCTTTGCACATGAAATTATATATATATCCTCAAAGATCACGATCAACAAATGGTTAAATAGACGGAGGACTAAATCGTGTTAAAATTGCACAATTAAGGACTTAATTGGTTGAAATTGAAAGTTGATGACCAATTTGTGAATTTAGCTATAGTCGAGGACCATTTTGAGTATTTACTCATGTAGATTCCTTAGTTATGCTAAGCAATCTGCCAATATATTGATGGATTAAAAATAATTGAGATAATTTTTTTACTTTTTTTCATTCAATAAAATTAAAATATATAACGAAATTATACATTTAAAATTTCATTTTAAAATGTCGCTAAAAGCTGACAGAGTTACAGGGCATGTTCCTTGCAATCCCTGGTCTGGTCTGGGCAACAGAAAAACCACTATAAAAACAATTTATCTAATCTCCAAATAATAAACAGCACGGGGACACGAATGGAATGTTTAAACACGTAATCTCAATTAATCTATGAATTAATGAAAACACCACTTTCATGACCCCCCACTGCATAACTACAATCGTTATATCCTACACCACGGCGCACATAGCACTGTGCGCCGCGCGCCTCCCAAAACGACGTCGTTTTAGGGTAGTGTTGGGAGGCGCAGTAGGAAGTTGCTGAGATTATGTGTATTTGTTCACAACGTTATGTGTATTTGTTCACAACGTTATGTGTATTGGTTCATACAGTTATGTGTATTTTTTATACAATTATGTACATTCTTTTTATACAATTATGTACATCCGAATCAGAAAATTTGTGTGTATTATGTTAAGAGTTGATGTGTATTATGTTAAAAGTTTATGTTTATTGTGTATTATGTTAGATTATGTGTATTATCTTTTAAAAAGAGTATGTATATTTTGTTATATAATTATGTACATTCATGTATAACATTATGTGTATTCTAATATAACATTATGTACATTCTTGAACAGCGGTTTTTTTTTTAAAGAAAAAACTACTGCCATTCACTAGGACGGGAAATTTAAAAAAAAAAAATAATTAAAACGACGCCGTTTTGCATCTGGGCGCATAGTGCAACGCGCGCCGTGGTGTAGGATATAAATTGCCAAATTAATGCAACCACACATTTCTATCCACCAACACTCCAGGGCATGGATCATGGAATTCTTACCATCTATTTGATTTGTGAAAAAAGAATTGAATTTAAATTATATATAATAAAATTTACTTAAAATATTGATTTCATTATTTGATTGGTAAGAAATAAAGAGGAAATTGTGAATTAGACCCTTAAATTTTACACAAAAGAGCAATAAAGCATATTACTTTTTAAAATGTACAATTAAACATTTAAATTTGTCAAAATGAGTTAAATAAGTTCTGTTACCAGTAAAATTACTGATGTTGACCACTATTGATCACTGTTAACCACTACTGACCGCCGTTATCATCGACATTAAAGATTTTTATTCTTATTTTTATTTTTACCAATGGTTGCCTTTGTTAGGAACCAGTCTCGTCATCTTCTCCAATGTGAGAAGGCAACCGACTTCTTCAATTTTAGTGGCAGTTTTGTCGGAACTCTACTAAAAGTGAGTAATAAATTTATTTTATAAAAAAATATTTTCATGTGAACCAAACAACTATTAAGATAACCAAGGTTATATTTGCTTGGTAATGTAAGATTATCATATTTGGTTCAGGTTATGTAACTTTCACAAGGAATTTCAGATAACATCCGCATTAAGTTTTTAGCTATTGGAAGGGAATGTGAGATACCCTCCAATTTCTTAGGTAATCTCACATTCTCTTGTCTTATTACTAATGTTGGGCTTTGGATGTTTTAATCAATTTATCTTATTACCGTTGTCTTATTTACATATCTTAGTTTTAAACCAAACACATGAATTTAACATTCCCAATAATTTAACATTTCCAGCAATCTAATATTCCCTAAGGTAATCTAACATTCCGTGAACCAAACGCCCCTTAGAGTTAGAATGCAATCCTTTATAAAAGGGATATGGATAAAATATCTCATGAGTAATGAGTTTATCACTTTTGGTATATAATTTTAAAATTTTTCAATTTTGGTGCATCATTTTGTTATTTTTATTAATTTTAATCATTCCGACTAAATTAACAGCAGATTGTTGTCGAATTTTATATTTTAGTAGCAAAATCGTCATTTCAAAAAAAGATCTCCAATATCTAAACAAAAGAAAAATCATATTAAGAGAAAAAAAAAAGAGTTTGTCAATCATCGACGCTATATGTCTCATAGATTTGTGTCTAGTTTCTGCCCGGCTTTCACATTATTCTTATCCATCAAATACCTATAAATATGATTTTACAGTGATTTTGTTTAGATATAGAAGTTGTTTTCTTGAGATGACGATTTTATCCCTAAAAATATAAAATTCGATAACATTTTGCCGTTAATTTGACTGGAAAGATCAAAACTGATAAAAATAACAAAGTTAGACACCAAAATTAAAAATTTTTAAAATTACGTACCAAAAGTGATAGAAACTCAATAATCGTGGGACGAAAAGTGAAATTAATTCATATTCAATAAACAAAAACTGTTCATAAGATACCATTGCCATTTGGTTCAAGGTATACTTCTGCAAGTTCTTTCTTGGTCCCCTCTATTAAAACTATCTCTTTCTTTTAGTCTACACATTCCTGTGTTTTTCTCTTTCCTTATTCCAGCACTGTCTTAATCTACTAATTTTGCCTATATATATATATACATCGCCATCTATCCATGTAATAATCTTACAAGTTTCAAAAATCCTCCCAATTTGTGCGGTTTCTAGGCTCTGCAAATTGATATAGTAATTGGGCTAACCCAAATTTCCAAAGCCCGGAATCTTGATTCTTTGCCCTTTGATTCCTTTCATCAGGGTATTTCAAGGAAGGAAAAGCAAGAGACAGAGAAGGACCCCGAGGATTTATCTGGGGTTTTCTCCGTCTTCCTAATTTTCTGAAGGAGCGAGCAGACACAGTTTCATGGATTCCCAGGTTTTGGTCGCTCTGGGTCTCTCAATGTTGGGTGGCCTAAGTACCTCTTTAGGTGAGTGACTGTTGGAAATGAGGATTTAGTTCAATGCTCAGTTGTTGAGAGTCTTTGATATTCAAGAATTGGGGATTAACTTTGATGGTTCAAGACTGTTCCTTTTTCCTCATCGTTTTCTAATTGTACGCGTAACGTTCTTCCTTGATTGTTATAATATGCTGTTTCATGTTGATTTTCACACCCAGAGGTTATTATTTGTTAATCTTCATTTTCATAATTGTATCTGTTAATTGCAGGGGGAGAAGTATTTGTTTGCTTAAATTCCTAGAGCATCTGTATTTGCTTGTTTTAAATGATTGCAAGCTTTAATTTTAAGTTTTGGTTGCACAATAAAAGCAGTTTCTAACCTGTGGGCATTGGCTCAATAGGTGCTCTATTTGTGATCATCAATCAGACCCCCAACTTGAAGATGCTTGGTCTTTTGCAGGTGATTCTTGACTTTCTCTGTCTATGCTTCTGAAATGAACAGCTACTTTTCAGTTTAACTTAATAGGTGTAGAAGCTACAAAGAGTAGCTTATATGCATTTAAGAATTGATTGTGTAAGCATATAGATTGACTTGTTACTTATCGGAATACAAATTATAATAATATGATGAATTGCTTGCTTTAGAACTTTTTATGGCATCAAAGATCTAATTCCATATTTTCATTTCATGCAGGGTTTTGCTGCTGGTCTTATGCTGAGTATATCATTCTTAGACTTGGCTCATAATGCATTGAACTCCATTGGATTCTTAAGAGGAAACCTCTGGGTGAGCTATTATTTCGAACATTTTGGCCCTGTTTGGTAAATGGCTATTAGCTGTTAGCTGATTGGGTTAATTAAATGGTATAACTAGTTGATAACATTAGCTGATTGTAGAAATGTGTTTGGTATATTAGCTGGTAGCTGTTTGGTATAATTTCTTTTCTAAAAAAGCTAATTGAAAAAGTTGCTTTGAGCAGCTTTTTGAATTTTAGCATTTTGGAGTTACAAAAAACTAATTAACCAAACACTTATATTGATTCTTTAACCAAGTCAAACAGCTAATAGTGGTCAAATAAGCCAAATTTGGCCTATAGGCTAATATTTTACCAAACAGGGCCTATATCAACTTTACCAATTGTTTACATTGTATTATTGACTGTTTTTCTTTAAAGAACAATCAACTATTGCCTCGCAGTTCTTTGCAGGTGTCATTTTCTTTGCTCTCGTTTCAAGCTTCATCCCAGAACCTACACTTTCTCCTACTCCAAATTTACAGAACAAAAAGGTTGTAATACTCTTATCTATTTCTCTCTATGAGTTGGGTTTTGCTTCTTAAACTGCTTATACTCATGAATCGTGACTTCATCTGGAAAATTTGCTCTTAAAATGTGAAATTGTGGTTGAGGGCAGAAAGGTGAGGATGATGGTGGCAAAGATATCATGAAAAAACACCGCCGACAAGTCTTCTATAGTGGGATTGTTACGGCAATAGGTTTGTCTTACACTTTTTGGCCAATGAATGACTTGATGAAATGTTCTATTTATGCTTATACCACTCCATGCAAGTAGGCATCATGTGTAGTCTGTCTAATCAATGCTTTGAAATCTTAGGAAGTAAGAGAGGAACCTTCTCTTCTAAATTTCATATTCTTGCGTGGCGTTTGAGACTTCTATGATAAATCATCAAAATCTATTACTGACTGAGGTTGAAAATATGTGTACATTTCTTGATTGAAAGAAAAGGAGTAAATGGCTTTTGAGATCTTTTTTTCTTTCTTTTTTGCTGTAACAGGAATAAGCTTGCACAACTTTCCAGAGGGAATGGCTGTGTTCCTTGGATCAATCAAGGTACCTATAACCTATCCTTGCTAGCAATTCATGATTTAATTTATGAACGGTGAGACCTAGACCACAGCCAAAACAAGCTTTTAAATGAACTATTTATACCATTTAAAGGGGGAAAATAGCGGGGTGCTTAATGTGGTGAAGCCTTTCATAAATATTCCTTGTCACTACCTTAGTCTCTAACTTAATATTTTATTTCTTGAAAATTTTTGAAAGCTGTTTGCCTATTTGATTTACAAAATGACCCTGTAGGAAAAATTGCTTATGATTATTTGTCTTTAGGCAAATTGCTCTGCAGTTTTGTGCCAGAATACAGTCTAATTCTATGATTGTATGTGAAAAGAATCATTTGATAGTTAATTATCTGAACATGGTTCCTCATGTAATGTAATTGGGGAAAAGTATTGTGATTGAATTTGACATATAATACTGATGGATTTAATTAACCCGGGGTAGCCTGAATTACTAAACCCGATTAAGAACGTAAATAGGAAATGGATAGGTGAAACAATGTCGTAAGGTCGCGGGGACCGTATATCGTATTAAATAGGGATAATCGAGCTATTACAAGTTGAATGTAAAGCTATTACAGCGATTGATTAGGACAAAGTAGATAGAATCTTGTAAGAAAAGTGTAATGTGTCCTAATGGGACAAAGCGTGGGGTTTTTATACAAAATAAACCCCCAACCGCCCCACCTAAACCGGGGGGTGGTTGCATCTCCCGTGTTGACCGCGTCCAGGGCTGGGCTTGACTGGGTCCGCAGGTTAGGCGTGCCGAGCTCAACATGGCTGAGCTCAACCATGGTCGAGCTCACCATGGCCGAGCTCACCATGGCCGAGCCCACAATGGCCGAGCTCACAATGGCTGAGCTCACCATGGCCGAGCTCACATGGCCGAGCTCATTATGGCCGAGGCGCCTTGGGCCGAGCACGGGGCCCCGGGTCGGTTTGCTCCTATCATAATATATCCATCAAATACTTTCTTACTTTGTAAAGGGTAATAATAAGTATGCCCTTGAACACTCAAATGGATTATTTAATTGATACCTTTCAAATGTCTTGTCACGTCTTTGCACACTTAGTGATCTTTTTATTTTATTTATCTTCTTTTGTAGGGTCTTCGAGTTGGTATCAATTTGGCCCTTGCCATTTCGTTGCACAACATCCCAGAGGTACATATTCAAAGTAATTGTTATAATTTCCATTTACATACTTCTATTATGCTTTTGCATACTTAAATGTGGTACAGATTTAAAGCTCTGTATAATCAAAACTGTAATCTCATACCTGTAAGCTCTGTAACTTTTTTTGGTGCGTCGGAGTAGTTGGGGATTGAACCTGTAATCTCCTACCTAAAGTCACAGGCTGGTGCAATTAGATTATAAGGTCTTTGACATGATCTAACTTGTAATTATAGTATAGTACTCATAATATTGTATAGGTAGATAGCTTGTAGTTAGAAAATTAAATAATGGGGCTAAAGTTGTTATATTAGGTTTCTATCATTAATAAACAAACTCACATAGCAAGTATCTAATGTGTTTGTGGCTTTGTGCATATTAAAGTATTCCTTACATAGGAAATTCAAAGTTCAGTTGGTAGGAAATCCCCCAAATTTGAGCATATGTTTCACACACACACATATAAAGTTCACACGTATTCTGCACTTTACCCAATAAAGTTGATTGGAATTTAATTACAAATTACAAATTTTAGTTTTAGAACATTTCATAATTGTACTTCAATACTCAAGACTAGTAGGGTTCAGTGTGATATTGGACTCTTTAATTTCTTATTCACAGGGTGTTGCGGTTGCACTTCCAGTTTATTTTGCAACTCAGAGGTAATGATTCTCCAAATTTCTGTTCTTTGTTTTCTGTTTAGAGAACTTGTTTACTAACACTCGTTTTTTCAAATTTATTTTTTCTAGACTAACTTTATAAAATTAACACAAGTGTTTCGAGTGAATTTTAGACATTATATTTAATTTTTTTTTTTTTGGGATATGTTTGGTTTAAATGGAATAAATATAATTTTTACTAACTCTAATATATGTAAGATTTTTACATTTGATATCTGAACCAAATATATATCCGTATATAACATAACTATAAATATATATGAACCAATAACCTATTAAATTCACCTAAATTTAGTTTAGATAATATTAATATTTTTTTGAACTAATAGTAAAAATATTTTTGGATGTATTCATTTTTGAATGAAATGTATGTATATATAATTTTTATTTTGAAATCTAATATATGTGAAATTTCAATATTAGATATCCGGACCAAACTTGTATTACGATATAACATAACTAAAAATATTTGAACCAATAATCTATTGAGTTCAATCAAAATCTAAAATTTTGTTTGGAATTCAAATTTTAATTGTGATAATATGAATAATGTTTAACTTTAAGCATAAACAAATAAATTATGTTTATATAAGTAAATGCAAGTAGAAAAGATAGAAGATGGTAATAAGTAAAAGAATATAATAATGAATGTAATCATATTAATGAATAAATATGTTAATAGATAATGGTGAGAATGTGGTTATAGTGATATATAGCCAAATAGAGGATAGATGATTTAGTTTTCTATTTAGAAAAAAGTTTTTAAAAGTTCTTCAGTTTTCTAGAAAATTAAAAAATGTTTCCACTTTTCAAAATGAAAAACTGTATTAGTAAACATGTTTTCTGTTTTTTATTCTCCAATTCTCCAGTTAGTAAATGGGCTCATAGTTTTTGTACTCTTTTTTTTTTTGGCCCTTCTTAAGAGTTTGGCGGATACATGTTTTCTGTTTTACCTTATCTAATTCAACCTTCTTTTATTTCAAACAACATTATTGTTCCATAAGGCATGGATTCCAATTAGGAATTTCTACAAATCTGATGTGGAGTACAATTTCGAAAACATATGAATGTGAGCTGTGGCCTGAAATGGCTTGTATGCTACTTGTTGAAACTTGGCCATTGTTAAGAGTCCACACCTATAAAATAAGAGAGAACATATGGGTTTATAAGGCCATGGTTAGACTAGCTAAATGGTTGGATTCAATCTTTTAGTGTGGTTTAGCCTATGTGCATTATAGCCCAGTTGAGTGACCATGGCCCAATCTTAAATTATAACAGCCATAAAAGCCTTTTTATATTATTTTTCATCCAACTGCTTAACAAAACTTTCTTCCAGTTGTGTTTAAAAAAAATTATTTCCTATACATTTAAACAATTCCACATCACTCTTTTTAAAATTATTCCATAATTTTGTTTGTATTTATGCATATCTTCAGCAAATGGCAGGCTTTCAAGATTGCTACACTTTCCGGCTTGGCAGAGCCCTTGGGTGTGATTATTGTAGGTGCGTTCCCAGCTGTTTACTTTATGTATATAAACATAATGGTGAAGATATACTTTTTTGCGAAGCGGCCATATGAGTTCAGATTAATTTACCCGTTATTCAAATCTCAGCCTATCTATTTCCAAGCAGCTTAAGTCCTGAAGTTCTGGAGGGCCTCCTTGGATCGGGTTTGTGATACTTTTGTTTTCTTTCGTTTTCGTTACTGCTGTAAGGATTAACTCATAATTCGACTGTTAATGGTTAACGATTCTTGTGGCTTCCAGTTGGTGGGGTGATGGCTTTCCTAACCCTGCACGAAATGCTGCCACTGGCATTTGACTATGCGGGCCAAAAGAACGCAGTCAAGGCTGTGTTTCTTGGAATGGCTTTCATGTCTGCTAGGTATTACACACATTGCTTTATCTTTTACTCTGTATATTTGAGCTATGCTTATATTTTTCTATGATTCTATTAATGTTGATGATAAATGTGGCCTCTATGCTACACGGAAACTTTGATGTAGTGGGACCCACATGGAAAAAGTAACTTATCAAAGCCGCCACATCAGGGAGTAAAATTGAGGGAGTACATGTAGTAAAACTCGTATAATAATTATCATTCTCCAGATCATTCAATTTCATTAGCCACGTTCCCCCCTCCCTGACCCTGGTTGTGTTTGATGGACCCTACTTGTGGTTATAACTTAATATTTGATGTAAATGAGAAAAAAGAGTTAGGAACATAGGACCACACATACCTTTCATCCCTAGCCTATGGGTCTATGCCTAAACTATCCAATGTCATTGTCTCTATTAGCAAAAACCGATAGCCTATCTCTTTAAGTTAAACCCGAGATTTTTAGATGTTATTTGTTATGACGGCCATCACTAGCCCCATGAATGGAAAGAGTGCAAGAGCGTTTGCAATTCTTTTGCTGTTCCAGGAATTACGTTTAAATAAAAAATCATATCGGAGTATATTGAAATATTCTTCCAAAAGTTCTCTTTTCATAAGTTCATTTTTCATGATCAGGTGCTTCATTGATTGTCTCTAATTTCCTTCTCTTTCTGATTATGCAGCCTGTATTTCCTACAGACCAGCTTACCGGAGGATATGAGCTTGTAGTTTCTGATCATACGACGCCAACCTGAGAGTCCAATAGTTCTTCTAACCATGTTTGGAAACCCCACCCCCACCCCCACTCTTCCTCCTTCTCCATGGATGAAGGGTCACAAGAAGAGAATAGTAGAAGACAGGAAAAGAATATTTGTAAAATGAGGGATATTGCAAATTCACTGTATATGTGACTGACTGACTATATACTCATCAGACAGTTGTATAAGTATATTCCCATGTGAAATAATAATAATGACAATTGATCCTCATTGAGATGTCAATTAAGCAACACAGTAAGATTCCTAAGTACACTTTAAGGTAAATGGAGGCCCTCCTATTATTATTATTATTATTATTATTATTATTATTATTATTATTATTATTATTATTATTATTATTTATTTAGGGGTACTATTGATTCTATTACAATGTAGTATCTGTTTATACATATTTTCTCAACTTATTGAAGCATACAGAGTCAATGCCCTCATTGGAGTTCAAACTTGTGACCTCCTATCTAGTAGAGTCAGAATTCTGCTGACCAGAAGGTTTTTGGCATTTGTTTGTTTATTTACTTGTACTAAAATGAAATGTAATGTTATAGGCTAGGCTAGGTAGCATACCGGACAGATATTACATTATAATAGAGTCAATGCCCTCACTGGAGTTCGAACTTGTGACCTATCTGGTAGAGCCAAAGTTCTGCTGACCAAAAAGTTTTTGGCACTTGTTTGTTTATTTACTTATACTAAAATGAAATGTAATGTTGTAGGGTAGGCTAGGTAGCATACCATGAGATGAAGTTGAGATTAGACATGGCTACATTATGCACCATACCATGTTTTCTGGATACAGAAACTAATAATCATTCACCCCTACCCAAAGCATATGAAAGACAATCACCTTAAAGGAAAGAAAAAATATAAAGTTTACCTAACAGAATCTCCTTCAAAAGTGATGCTGTCCCAACTTTAGTCCAAAGCAAAATTTTTTGTAAAGTTAAAGTTGTCCATCCTTCACCTCTTTCTCTTTGATTGGGGCTAATCAAGTGGTCCATTTTCTAATTTAATTTGCTCTTATCTACTTTGCTGTTCATTTTTGAACTAGAAAATTAAACTGTTTGTTGCACATGCCATGGTACTGAACATTAACAGTGCATTGCATTATGGACCTCTGGACTTTGTTGAGCTTTTATTAATAATTCAATTTGTCTGGTCTTTGCTGTAATGAACAAAAAGAATGAATGTCTTTGCAGGTTAGGAAAACAACCCAGGACTGCCATGCCCAACTATCATTTAGTCTGCCCTAATTTCTCATTTAGTCTTGGGTGGGTATAAATGATTGTACAATCCACCATACTTAATGAATATTATATTAAATGGGAGATGATGAACAACTATGCATTTGCTAATCTCAAAAGTCAAAATCAATATTGACAAATACAACTTTTCAATTACGAGGCGTTTGGTTCGGGTTATTTAATATAACAAAGGTTATATTTGGTTGGTTATTTAAGATTCCTATGTTTGGTTGAAATTATGTAACTTTTCTATGGAATAAAATTTAACCTTCACATCAGCTTTTTTCCTATTTTGGAGGGAATGTGATACCCTTGGCATCCTTAGGTATTATAAGATTTCCCTAATTTTTTTTTACGGAAAAAGGGTCAAATAAGCCCTTGAACTTTACCTAAGAAGTCAATTAGGCCCCTAAACTTTATAAAGTAACAATTAAACCCATTAAGATTGTATTTTGGTGCAATGAAGTTCAAAAACCGGTTAGTGATGACCTGCTATCACAGGCCACTAAGGTTCCAATCAACATTCCGGCAAAATCCGATGATATTTCCGACAATAAAGTGATCGGCGACCATAGAACGGTCGCCGGTCACTTATTGCCGAAAATATCGTTGGAGTTGGCCGGAACCCTAGTGACTTGTGATAGTAGGTCACTAACCGATTTTTGAACTTCATTGCACCAAAATACAATCTTGATAGGTTTAATTGCTATTTTAAAAAGTTTAGGGGCCTAATTGACTTTTTAAGTAAAGTTCGAGAGCTTATTTGATCATTTTCTCATTTTTTACTAACATTGCCCTTCACTTTCTATCGTGTTGCTTTGTTTTTGACCGAAAAGTTAAAAAACATAGAAACTAACCTTTCGGTCAAAGCAAGCAAATTTACTTTGCTTAACATAATCCAACATTCCATAACCAAATAGCTTTATATTACATATATCAATTTTAACCAAACACAGCAATCCAACATTATATTTCCTAAAATAATCTGACATTTCGTGAACTAACCAAACTCATAACCCGAATCATCACCCGTAATTCTTTGTCGTGGCACTATTAAACTAGATATCGGCCAAGAACCTTGTGGTTTAGTGGCACCAAGTTGTTCCCTTATATGGGAGGTTGTTAGTACTCTTTATGCTTCAGTTGATTGAGAAAGTATTTATGAACAGATAACCGTTACAGAGTCAATAGTACGAGTTTGGTGTAACCTAAAGACTATACGTCACATCAACATAACCCGGTAAGGCTGGGATTATCCCAGCCAATATTGGCTTTGCAAGCTGATGTGGCAAAGCCACATATACATTTTTTATTTTTTTTTAATGAAATGGGTTTGCAAATTTGCACTGCAAGCAAATTTGCAAACCTTGAAAAAGCTGCCGCGGCTGTACTGCCGCGGCAGCTTTTGTATATATTTTTTTTAAATTTTATTTGATTTTTGTACTTTTTAGTATTTTAATATTATTAATAATGTTATTTTAATATGTTGAGCTCACTTTTGAAGGTTGATTGGATTTGCAGGGTTGTAGTGTGAATAGTAGATGATTTACAAATGGGATGATGTGGAAATGGGACCTATTTTTGAGAGTGGGAGATGTTTGTAGGGATAAGGACAGCCTAACGAGTCAAATTTGGTCCGTATTTGATATTGATAAATTTTGGCAAGAGGTGTAGGGTGCAGGCAGGCAGGCAGGCAGGGGCATTTCATATCACACGTCCATTTCTGATGACAACATTCTGATTTCTGAATACTCCCAAACAGTACACTATCCATCCATCCATCCCCTTTCCCTCTCATCTGCACTTTCGACATCATATCTCACAAACTTCCCATCTTTCACTCCCATACATCCCGCCCATACACACGTTTTTTAATTCTCCATTTCATAATTAAACCATTCCGACTTTTATACAACTTTTGGTTGAAAAGAAGGAATACGAGAGAGATGAATTGTAATTCTATAGAAAAAAAATAAGGGAAAAATAAAATAAAAATTCAAATTTTATTGTTTGGTGAACAAGAGTAAAATCATTGAGAATTGAAAGAGAATAAATTATAAAAATTAAAATGTTTTTGTATAATAATAATAATAATAATAATAATAATGGCAAAGTTGTTATTTGCTGTGAAATTTCAATTTCAAGAAGGTCCTAGGAATTTCAATTCAATGGTGGGAGAGAATTAACCAAATTATGAATTGTACATTTGATAGAATTTGGTAGAATGGAATTGCAATTCAATCCTACCAAACGTCCTGTTATTACTCGAGCAAATGTCTTATGATAAAATATTGTATTTTATTTTACTAGTATTTTAAATTTGTTGTAATATATTACGAATATTTGGATCCATATATAATTATTTAAATTAGAACATCAAATACTCTGTATTATACTATTATATAATGCAATTGAAAATGTGGTTTGGATCATTTGTGTATTTTGAAGTTATCATTACTTGAATTTGGACAAATAATTGCTCAAATTAATAGATAATGTGTAGATGTATGCATACAATGCTGTAACTTTGGAGATTTTATTTAGCATTATTTAGTATTTTTTATAAATTAGACAAATGTGTTCGTTCTCTAGCAACTCAGTTAGGGCATCCTCAATAGTTGGAGATTTTACCCCTAATTTTTGTGGGCCCCAACCTCCACCTCATCATCCACTATCTCACTCAATCACAAAATCTCTTCTTCCCATTAGTTTTAAGTTTTTTAACAACTTTTTGTGGACCCACCATTTTATCTCCATATTTTAATTAATTATTTATTTATTTCATTTATAAATTTATAATTTTAGTGATAAACATAAATGATACCTAAAAATAATATGTAAATTAATATACGTAAAAATTGTAAATAAAAAATGTTAAAAATTGTGAAAAATGTGTTATTTATAGCAAATAAAATCATAATTATTAATTACAAAACTCATATGTAAAAATCATGATTATAACAAAAATCATATTATTAATATATAAAAATCATAAAAATAAAAACAAAAAAAAAAATTAATTGGCAACAAGGCCGTTGCCAATCCAAAATCAATTTAATCAATTGATTTCAGAGTGGCCGCCAGTTGGCGGCCACTCTGAAACGCCTTGGCGGGCGCGTGTGTTACACGCGCCCGCCAGGCTGAAGGGTGAGACGCACCTGCGCGTCTCACCCTTCTTTTTTCTTTTTTTTTTTTTTTTTTTTTTAAAAATTCTGACAATTTTTTTTTTTTTTTTTTTTTTTTTTTTTTTTTTTTTTTTTTTTTGCAGGAGAAAAATGTGGTATGTTTTTTTGCTTCCCATTTGTTAAAAAGTTAAACATGGAGATTTTATTGTTCCAAAATTAGGGAAAGAACTCCTATTGGGGATGTCCTTATAGGAATGAATTGCTATCTTAATTCATTTATATGGAAGATATATTTTTTTGTCTAGATATATAGCAATTTTGTCATTTAAAAAAACATAATATCAACGATTATATTTACACATTATTGAAACCTCTTTGTAGACGACATTGGTAGTAGCAACACAATCTCGTCCATCATCTCCTAGAGCTAACACCTTCAGTCCATCAAGATGGGTGACTCGCGTGAAATATATATAATGATAAAATATTAGTCAATTAACAATCCTTTTATATTTTAAGTCAATTAGTAATATCAGATTCATTTTCAGTCAATTATTCTTTTTTATTTTTAGTCAATTAGTCAATTATAATATAACAAGGTAGAAATGTTGACGTTGGATTAGGGTGCAGCCATGCACGTGGCGCCAGCCAAGTATCGAGTACCGCATTCTCCGTTGCAGTCGCCGTTTTCGTACCTTTTCGGTGACCTGGGCGCTATGGTGGGACTCGTCACTTGCGCAATCTTCATCCTTATGTGCTGTAACAGGTGCCTCTCCGGGCCGCGGGGTGGCGATGGGGCCGTGCGGGACCTTGAGGCCGGAGATGACAGGGACTTTGAGGCTGGAGAATAATTTGT